TCAGAATCTGTTATTGCTAGGAATATCCTCCTCCCACCCCCCCAGCAATTTACCACTTGTTGTGGCTTCCCTTTGCTCTCTTCCAATTTATTCGGTTCTGATCAGCTCACTGTAAATGTCAGTTCATTTTTATATATCCCCACTAAGTTGTCAGGAGGGGAAACTCCCATTAAAATGGGAGTGAGTCCTTAGCCTCCTGGGTCACTGCATTCAGTCCCGTGGTATCACAAGTCTCCACACAACTTCCAAAAATTGATCCAACTCCACATTAACACCAGAAGAGTTCCCAGAAAATTTCAAAAGATGAGGCTTCAGATAGTGAAGTAGTAATGCATACAGCCATTAAAGAAAAGAGTTTTGGAACTGGAGTAGCAGATTTAAAAAAAAAAAAAAAAAAAAGGTTTCTGTGACTGTAATTCCATTATCATATAAAAAAGGTAGACTTCATTTCTGATGGACAAAAATCGTGGAAGTAAGGAATCGTCTTGAAATGCAGGATCAAGATCTGCCTTCAGGACCTGTGCGTGTGTGTAAGCAGAAGTCGTTTTTCTTTAATTCTTAGATTAGATTGTTTTTTTCTTTAATTCTTAGATTAGATTGCTACAGGCAGCGTTAGTCTGTTGTCAAGATGGGTTTTACAGCAGGACACGATACTTGGTGGTATTATTCTAAGTAATCGGTTTGGTCAGTGGGCCAAACAGAAACGATGAATCTTTCGTTACCACTAAAGTCTTCAAAAAGTGCAAATACTGACAAACAGCTGTATTTAATTCTTTGAGAATATCCATTAAAAAGTAAAACAAAAAAACCCAGCAAACATAATCCATACATCTCAATATTGTACGTTCTTGTCACTTAACCTTGTCTCAAAAATCATTAGAAAAGATGCTGTTGTCAGAGACAGCAACCAGGTAGGAGAAGGGACGAATGACTCTGTACAGAGCTGAACATTGCCATATCTGTGTTTAGAACTCCCTTTGTCATGAAACACACACTAATTTACACTGACAAAGAACAGAGGAAAAAAAGGCCACAATGCTCTAAAGCTGAAAGGCAGAAGACTCACCTGAGAAAAACAGACGAATTCATTCTCTCGGCCTTGAAGTAGCTTGTTACGTTCCGCATGTTTTTTCAGTTCAGCTTCCAGTTCCGTGATCCTTTCTTGCAAGGCCTCCTTGTCTCTTTTTGACTGCAAAATGCATTTGTCATACTCCTTCCGGATCCTTCTTTCCCTTTTGCAGTTTGGACAGTCTGGACCCTGGGGTGCTTCAGCTGTGAATCCTTCTGAGGGGATCTTTGAAATGAGTAACTCTAACTTGGATTTGTTTTCCAGTTTATTCTCTCTAGCACCATCAAAAGGCACATTCAAACTGTTCGAGTGAGCACTAAGAAATGGAGTGTGAGCAGTTGTTACTTTACTTTTATCCACCGCAGCAATGGCTTGGATGAGTCCTGATACTTTCTCCAGTGGTTTATCCACCTGAGGTAGATTGATCTTCTGCCCCCTTTCTTCTCTGGGAACATTTAAGATTGACACATGGTCTTTGCAGCTTTTATCTGTAGCTTTTGTGGGGGGACTGAGACTGAAGTGAATAGGAGGAAAGGAAGTCTGCAGCTGTGGGACCCATTTTTAATTGTATTACTTTCTCAGAAATGAATCATTCAAATCAATTGTGCTATACCTAAAGAAACAAAATTACACAACTGCACAGTTTAATAATAATTGTATGTGTACCACTGCCCTTCTAGCTCCAGTTTTAGGCAACAAAAAACAAGTAAAATTTCGAAGCGCTGAATTGTACAGATATTCACATAGATAGTCAACCTGTTTCTCTAAAAAAGCATTCACAGAATAACAGAAAAACAATTTTTTTCCTTTTACAGATGCGGAAAGATAGATATAGAAGCTGAACGGCATTCACAAATCTATCCGCCTAATCCATAGCTTAATTGGGAACAGTTTTCAAAGCATCTAGAAAGCTTGCAACATACAATCACCCATATGCTTTTGGAGATGCTTCTCCAGCCTTCCTAACTTTCTACTCACATCTATTCATGGACTACCCTGTTGATCATCAAATCACTGGCTATTTCATCACTGAAGTGAATAAAGATCATAGATTCGAGACATACAGAATTATCCCCTCTAATATCACCAATATAATTTTGGGATTGACAGGGACCAGTAAAATATTCACGCACTGCTTTATCTATCAAGACCTTTCCCCAGGCTGACTCTCTCATTTACGTACCTCCCTTATGAACTCACAATAGCTGTTTAATTCTGTCTTTAATTTTGAGCTTATTTCTTGATCGTTATTATCTTCAAATATCCTGCAGCTGCTGCAAGCACTTCCACTCATTTGTGGTCCTAATAACGATGTCTAACTCTCATTTAAGTGCATTTCAGCCATAATCTGAGCACACTACTTCACCTCCGTGCAAGTGCCAAACATATACAAAGTTAATACATCTTCCCTGTATCCTGGACCCGCCTGAATTTGGACCTCGTATCCCATGTCCCCAAGTAGAACAGGACTACCCAGAAGTAGGTGGGGGTGCAACTTAACTGATTTCAGCATGCCCCTGACATGATTCCTGCACCACTGCACTGTAAGCACGCCTTCTAAAATCTAGGGAAAAAAAATGCCATCATCTAATAGGGAAAGAGAGTCTGCAAGGCAGGGGTGAATTCCCTCTCTAGGTGCCTTAAAAATTTAAAATGCCTCCATTATCACTGGACACTACTTACAGCCACGCAGGTGCAAATGACTGCATAATGCACAAAGCATTACAGAATATGGCCAAAGATCTCCTGAAACTAGCCTGAACAGAAAATGGAGTTCAAAGTACAGGCCTCCGCCCTTCTTTCCCCCTTCTCTGCCTGCTACTCCCTCTACCAACTGTCCTTGTTTCCAAAAAAGCAGCAACTTCCACATCAACAGATAATAGGTATAACAGCAAAAGGAAAAACAACCCTTAATGTTTTTGAAGAGCAGCTTATGAGGGAAACAGTAGGAATTCATAACAGATGAGGAAGGCCCATAGAAGCAAAACAAAGTAAAATAAACAGAAACAGTGTTAAGAAGTTGAATTTTTGTAAATTCTTCCTTTTCAGGACTAACAAACACTCTCAAATTTGCCTTAAAGAGCTTTTATAAATTAGAAGAGCTTATTTACAGTTTTTACCAGTAAAAGTCAGAAATAGCAGCTTGAAATGAACAAGAATTACATTTCTCAAACGTAGCAGGAGCAGAATGTCAGTGCCTGACCATGCTTGTGATTAGTCAGAAGAACGGAGAGCATATTTATCAACCACGATTCAATAATAATTAGCCTAATGGCAACAACTTTAGCTTTACCTTTCTTGCATTTGTATTTTCAGGTAATCCCTTTTTTTTCCTGGGATTCTTCTGAGCAGAAAGTACATGGTTTGTCTCCGGCTAAAACAAAAATAGCAGATGATCAATAAAGATTTTCATCAGAATATGAGTAATAAAATCCAATACATGTCTCATGGAACCATCATTTATACTTTCCACAGAGGTGATTGTCTTATCAGTGAAGTCAATACAAGACTTTCTTCATAAATCACTTTTGGTTACAAATTAAAATATAGACTCACGAAAGCAACTGTCTAGAATTGGCCACATTATAAAGACTGATTGACACCAGAAAAGTATTATGCATTAGACAGGAAACTTTGTTCAGAAAGCCTCCTATCTTCTGGCACAATGAATTTAACCTAAATAAAAAGTGGATTGCTCTTAATTCCACACATGCTGTTGCCAAGTTATCAGAGTCAAAGAGTCACTACAGTAACGCCACAATGTTGCGTCAGCGTTTTGCAACAGACTGTAAGTCATTATTTAAGGGTTTTAACTGATGAAATTCAACATTCAGCCTCCAACCCAGAGTGAAAAATACCTAACGTTCCTTCCAGTTTCCACCCTCAATCTAGCCACACTTTTTGCAACGTACAGGGGAAGGACAGCATGTTATACCCAGGTCAATACTCTGCAACTCCAGTTACGTTTCTTTTTTCTCCAAACTCTTAAATGGCAGGCGTTATCTACTTACTAGCTATGGGCCAATTAAGACATGAGGCTGGGACAGGAAAAAGCAGCATCTCGGAGTCGCAGTTAGGCGAGAGACCAGACTCCACACAGCTACAGAGAAAAGGAAGGATGCTAGGAGTCCTTCCAGCAGACTATTTTGCCTTGCTGGTAGCTTTATCCGTTTTTAAAAATCAACATCTAGCTAATAGTTCTGTCATAAACATCAAACTCCTCTAGAACAGAGGGTATCTGAGTAATCTTTCACTGTAGCGAATAATGATAATGGTTGCTTCTATTCAAGTACTTCAAGAACGGTTCTGATTTCTGCCACCTTTGCAGCTGCCCATACTTAATACCAGGAACAATTTTAATAGCTTTAACGGTGTGGCATCATGTAAAAGCTCTAAGCAGCAGCAGACGCTGTCCTTTTGCAGACTCGGGAAGAAACCACATCATATGCTTGCACACTACCTACATATATACCTGAGTCACTGCTCACTTGTGGTATTTACAATTAGAAATGAAACCAGTGGGGGTCAGAGAAGGTTGGTAAGAGCATTCCTTTAAACCTGTTAGTTTAGACTTACTCGTTTAAAAAAATGAAAACTTTAGATTCCCTTTAGGTTGGAGGAACTCCCTCAGAAAAACCACCTACCCACCCCAGATATATGGTGTTTTCCAATACGTGCTGCAAGACATGGCCAGGAACAGGAAAAACGTCTACATCATACCTGATGAGTACTATCTTGCACTGATGAGGTCTCCATAGTTTCATTTTTGCTCCATCTTGTTTTACGGACATGGCCTCATATTCAAAATAAGTGATGCAAAGCAGTTTCCAGAGGAGCTAAAAATAAAGATATGTGTAAGTTTTGATATTGACAAAGACTGTTAAGCACTTCAGGAATATGCAGCAAACTCTTCAGACACTATGCCCTTTTCATATCCCTTCCAAGGGTTTGTGTTATAGGCTCACACATATTAAAAAAGAAATGGCAGCAGTAACACTTGGAACAGATGTGTTAGCACTAGCACAACAGGGAAAGCATTTTGGACCTCGGTATGCTAAGGTGTAGTTGCCTTATTATTTCTGTAGCACTTACTAGATACAAAGTGCTTTAATAGAGAGGAAAAAAAAAGGTCAGAACTTTGGGTGCACTGTTTACAATCAGAGCCTGTTCTGAGGACTCAGGAAGGACAGACACACAGGCCTCACACCTCCCTGTGCAAGTGTTTGCAGGAGCTCACCTTCAGTGCAACAGGCTAGGCAGACTTTTGACAGCTTCTCTTCTCACTGACATCTACACCCACAGAGTTCCTTTGCATTCAGTTTCCTTCCCTTATGTCTGAGCCAGCGTGACTGAAGCCACTCGGCTGAACGCCTCTTCTTCTAGAAAAAGTAGTTTGTTTGTTCCCTCTTATCCTTTCTTTATTCTTTCTGATCTCTACAAGTACAGATTTTGTCATGTTACATCAGTCGTCTTGGTTTGGTGCAGAAACTCTAAGTTAGAAGCTGCATAGATTGCTGCATGTTCTAAAATCTTTATATTTCAATAATGAATTCCTAGTCAACACGAGGAAAGGAGCCCTTCTGCAGAGAAGAAAATAAGTGTTTTGCCACCATCTTCAGTGGATCATCATCCAAAACCTGCTTCCTTAAATACGCTAGCCCAAAAGGTCTTGTAGTTCTGTGAGACTGCTCCTGCCAGCACCCTGAGCAGGACAAGGCTCCTGTGGCACGTTGCGTCCAGAAGAGGTGCCAAACGAAATGGTGTTTCTGGAATCTCAAACTAAGCTGAGATTGCTGTATGGAAAAAGTTTGCGTATGACAACATTATTATGATTAATTGCATCTACTTTGCAGAAGTGCCTCGTGACCACTCAGCCTGAAGCTGTGCTAAGAGCTACATAGTGTGAAATAGTTCCCAAGAGTTTATAATCTAAGTGATTAAGGCAGAAAAGGCTATGTTCTTATTACAAATAAGCCTTTACAGACAGAGTATAATATATTTCGATATGGACTTATCTCTGACTCCAAGCACCAGATTTTATCAGTGTTTTTACTTTCTAATCCAGAAAAAAATGTATACGTACATTCTGCAGTGTGACTAATTCTTTCCAGGGAAAAAGAAAAGGAATTAAGAACAGTACCTCTTAATCAATGCTTTAGTGTTTAGTTAAAATTCCTGTAATCAGGGAGGTAGCATAGTCTAGATTCAAAACATATCTGCAGGTCTCCTCATTGCAATATGGTTCTCAGTAGACAAATACGCATTTTAAAGCTTCTTTTAATATACAAAAAATTATATCCTTTAGGCCAGCAGCATCCCAGATCAAAAGCTGATGAGTACACTTCTATGCTGGTAAAACTGCATCAGTAAATTCCTTTCTAGTTCTCTGGCTTCAAAGAACTACTCAGGCATTAAATGTGAAATTACAGGAATCTGAACAGATAAAACATGGGACACTCTCCTTACAGTCCTGAAGTTCTACAGTCAACAAGGACAGCAAAGCACCAAAATTTATAACGTAAGGCAAAGGCTTTCTACAATTAAAAACAGAAAGCTTGGAACTTCTTTAAATAAAAATGTCCGTATGAAGCTTGCCTCCTGAACAAGAAGAAAACAAAAAAGTAAGGAAGTCTCCAGACCAAACTGAATGAAATACCATCTTGAAAAAAATTGTATTAGGCATTCAGAAAGCATAAGGACATACTGACCATAAAGAAAGTGATCACTTTAGGTCACTTTGTAAAGTCATCAGGAAGTGCAAGGATAAACTAAGAGTTCCCAGTAGTAAAGACGAATTAAGTGTCGCCATCTTCTTTTTAGCTTGCTTTGCAAGAAGTTCTGCACTCTTTGAATAAATCAGCTCAAGAAAGGGAGAACCGAAACCAGAGAGTAATAAGGATAATCAGAGATCAAAGATAACAAGGAAAATAAGTTCCAAAATTAAAATAATACCTTGAAATCCAACATCACTATCAATATTGAAAATGGAGGTAAATGGAAAAAAGGGCAGAATGGTTCAAGGCAGTGAGAATACATCACAAAGATCATCACTTCCCAGGTAGAAGCAAAACCTAAAGATCTTAATGCTTTTATATGGGAAGTGCTAGAAGTATTGCCATATGAAGTTACAGATCCAGGAGCAAATACTGAAAATAATTTGGGGATAGTATCATGCGATGAGAGGTGCAAATATTGTATCTGTATTTCAGAAGCGAAGGACAACATCATTCAGTCAACTTTGGTTCTGTTAACCTAGTCTTAATGATGTGCAAAGTTTAAAAATACATACTTTTTAAAATAAAGACACAAAGTTTAGTGGGGAAAAAATGAGATTGAAATGCAACATAGGTTTGTAAAAGACCAGTTTTTCACTAACCAGACATTTGTCTTAGATTACACTTACTTTATTTTCTATATTTAGAAATATCACTTTTCTTACCAGTCTGGACTTCAGAAAAGCATTTCATATGAGGAGTTAGTTAAAAATGGAGATGAGAATACTATTATAGGATAGGAAACAACAAGCTAGGGAATAGACAAAATGGAACGCATTAGGCTATGGGAAGGTTGGAACTGATTTCACTTAATATCGCTGCTAATAAATACTGGGAAGAAGAGAGGGAGAGGGAAGAAGGGAGGAAGGAGTGTGCTAACAGCACAAGTCTGGAAGACTCCAGAGCTAGAAGATGGCAGCTTGTCTTCAAACTTCTTGCTCTTAGATCTTCTAGCTGACCTGACCCGACCCTAACTGAGTTGCCCAATATCACACAACAGCTTAAGAATAAAGTTGGGAATAAAAACGAAAGAAAAAATTTAACAGAATGCTCTGTTTCTTATGAGTGAGATAATTAAGTGACATATTTTTAACAGTACGTACACACCTAACTTCCACATCCTCAAAATGCAAATTCAGCAGGGCAGCTATGGGGTCAAAGCTTCCATTTACTCCATGGAAGTTAGACATTTAAGAGGCTATAAATACATTTCTGGGGACACTAGTTACTAGGAGACAGAAGTGCTTCCTATATTTTCCACATATGGTACATAAGCACATGAAAATCTCAAGAAGATCAGTATACATACCTAGGCACTACAATGAAATAAATTCAGTTCAATCCTGCTGCCCTTAGTAACGAAATAGAATCTGGGTAGGTCTTCAAAAGCATTGATTCCTTTTTCATAGACAACGTTAAATTACATAATTAAGAAGTTTGGTTCAACAGCTGATCTTCCCGATTTAAACAGCATCACAGACAAAATGATAAGATTTTAGTATTAATAGCAATTGTCACTTTTCTAGAATGGTAAAGTGTTAAAACACGCACACAAAACAAACTATCATTTTCAGGTGCCATGAGAAGAGATTACATTGTTACTAGAGACCATCTGCTAGGAAGAACACTGAGCAACAAGATAAGCCAAAACCACTTCTGGCATAAAAGGATATAATTCCACTGACTTCAAGAAATTAATCCCAACCTTCCTGTATGCTACAAATTAATAACATGACACACAGTGCAGACTAGTAGAGGTGAAACAAGGTTAAAAACACAAAGATTGCTATAGTCTTCTCATTTAGAGTGATTGGTTCTTTTCACTTCATATGTATTGATAGAGGCTAAAAGTCAAGACCATGACAGCTACTCATATAGGTCAATACACTTTTTTTAAAAAAAAAAAAAAAAAAAAGGTAGGATATTTCTGCTGTGATAAGAAAGAACACAAGGCCCTTATTGCCATCTAAGGGTCACTTTTGAAACAATTTTCCTCAATCTGATTTGCTTTACAATTACACTAAATCATACCGTGATTGCTCTCAATACAGTACTTACAGAATTTGGCTTCTCTTGATGATGTATTTTTCCTTCTCCTAGTTACCACTTTTATTATTGATTTCCAGATAATCCCTGCAATTACTAGAAAAAGGTTTGGGCAAGTTTCCCTAGAGGCCTGCAGATGCCTACTACCCTTATTAGCAGAACATCCTTTCACCCCCTTAGCTACCATCCTCAGTTACTAAGCGTTTGACTATGCATATATTCTGTTCAGGGACCAGCAGGGAGAACATTTAATATCCTCTCACTAACAAACAAGAAAGGCAACAGCTGCTGGCCTCAGCAGAGGGTCTGCTCAGGGATCCTGTCCCAGAGAGAAGTCTGGCTGGACCCAGCTGTAGGAAACTAAGCCATTCCCCCTGTTATGGAAAAACGTGCTATGAGAAATCTGGCCCACGTTGTTCTCTCCTTATTGGAAGGAAATTATACTATTTGAAAAAACCCTTTAACCAATGCAGGGGAACTACAATTAGAAAAGTACATTCATTAACATCCCTGACACAGAGAGGTCATATCAGAACACCGGGAGGACGGGGGATTGTTAACAAATAGAAAACACTCCCATAAAGATAGCACTGCCAGCATGTAAGCTGCTTTTGGGGAGCTACCTGACTGGCTAAACTGAGAGGAAAAGCTGAAGGAAACCTTTTTGAGGTATCAGTGCAAAACTCAGAACTAAAACCTGGCTAGGGCTGCCTGCGTGGTATGGGACTCAGACATGCCTGCTGCGCCAGCAATAGGGGTAACGAAAGGGGCTGCTTACTACAGTGGGTTGCTACATAACAGTCACAGCCTACCACTTACGCTAGCTGAGCAGCCACGGGGATTAAATTACTGTGGAGTTTTCGTTTTCTATTTTTAATCAAAAAAACATCAACTGGGGACTCAACTTCCCAGCTTCTGAACTTAGACCTAACTGGAAGAGAATATCAATCTGGGCTTCAGATTTTTTCTTTTTTGTCTTTTTTTTTGTTTTTAGAACAAGAAAGAACAGGATCATC